GAGATGGTGGTATTTTGATTTTCTAATCTGGTGAATGAGATATTAGACTTCTTCTTTTAGCAGATGTAGATTTTGTTAACGTATATATTTTGACATTTAAATTGTCCAATGTAAAAAAAAAAAACTCTGAAGGGAGGAGGATGGCAAGTTCGTATCGATTATACTGATGTCTATTCTAGTGTTGTTGAGAGAATCAAAAATTTCCTTAGTTTCTGTTATCGTTTATGTGCGTTCTCTATTGAGCTTTTTGATTGGATGTAAGATGACAACCAACAGAATTGCAACAACGATCGTAGCGAGATATTATGTTGTGGTGGGTTCATACTGATGTGATCTTCTACTAGACTCTCTTTCTTAAATATTTAAACTTGAACAATATTATCACTATGAAACTAGCACAAAGAGTAGCCACCAGAACAGATTCAAATAAATCTAAACTCCTGAATACTCGGCCTTCTGTCGGCAGAATATGGGTGCGGATACTTGTCTACATTGCCAAACACTCTCACCTATGTTTTGTTTCCACAAGGTCGGGCATTAAAGATGCCAAGCTAACTTAGACTCCTCAATATTGTTAATGATTAAGTAAAACAAATAAGTAAATAAATTTATAATCGAAATGATCAATATGCTAAAGCTGATGAAAAAGTTGAAGACAAAGAAGAAACTTACCTGATACGGTTTATATGCATCGACGATTAAATTCAGTCGTGCACACACGTCACGAACTGACAAAAGAATTGTTAACTGATCGAGATTATCCAAAATACGATGCACAATCTCGACGGGTAATGCAAGTACAGCTGGTATTGTCTTGTCAAACATTGATGTTGTTCGTTTTGAACAGTATATATAAATTTGGTAGAAATAAAAACTGTCGATAGTAAAAGTGTCGAATATGGTTGTAATATTACTTCAGCACTCACTATTCATATAAAAGCGAACGATATGGATGTTACTACAAATTATTCACGCAATGTTGATGAAATGGTATGCTGAAATATTGTTATTAGCACACTCTTTATTTTTTCTTTCATTATTTTTTACTTTCGGTGTTCTTTCTTTCTACCATTCTTTCGATTCGTGCATCTCGTTGAAAATTATGTGCAGCACATTTTTTTTTTATTTATATGTAGGTGCCTGCATTTATTAACAATGTTTCATCTACGTGTAAGGAAATTGTGCAATTTCTAATCTATATAAAGAACTGCAAAACTGTAATAAAAAATAGGATTGAAAGCCGCCGGTGTATTCCGAAAGGTAGAAAAGGAGGTATTTTAACATCTCGACTGTGAACTGTAAAAAGTATTTAATATGCTCTCACAAACGTGTCAATCATGGTTTAAAAATAAATATTTTTTAAAACACTTTTGGTGTTTTTAGGGCTGTGAGTGCAGGTATGAGTATGTGGTGATATGGGTGTGGGTGGTGGGTGTGAGGTGTAGGTATGGGTGTGGATTCTTGTTACATACATACGCACCCTCCCAAACCACACCTATGTCTATTCATAAACATTCACGCTCTAATCATATTCTTCCCGGTATCCACGCCCACTTAAACCTACCCATATCACACACTTACACCCACACCCACACCCTAACATTGTGACGAACGATCGCGTTCCTTCATTTGCGCCCGTTTATAACACTCTGATACTCGATAGAAATAAGACTATATTTACAAAAAAAACTGGCTAATCACTATTACTTTTACGATCATCCATGATTGCAACTCGTTAATTTAGGCTTATTTTATATCGAGTAGAAACTTTTGTTTTTCTTCTTGGTGCAAAACCAGAATCCAACGTTTGAAGTTGTTAAAATATTTCAACAACAAATAATAAGTGAAGAGTCGATTTGCATTCAAAGATTAGTTAAAAGACAACAAGAACATGAATCGAAAATAATTTGCTTGTTTCTTATCATTACATATAAACTTATGTGATTACTTTTATGAAAAAATATGCTCATAAAATTCTTTGATTGACGACACATTAGTCGAAACATAGAATCTAATGTTAATTGGAAAAAAATACCTGTTTTTATTTCCTAGAAAAGATATGTTGAAACTGGTGTCCAAGACCTTTATTCGACGTGTGACTTCGTTTAGTAATGACGCAATAGCATGGATCGCAACGATTGAAGTCCCGCTAGTTGTTTTTTCGTTGAAACTCGTTTCACAAAGCAGAATGCAAAATTTGAAACGAATAAAAAGTCATTTATTCGTCATGTTACGACCGATTGCTGCAATATGCAAAAATACTCTGAAGAGATATGAAAGAAAAATATTTGTAGAATTTTTTAATATTGATTCCCAGATTCAATAGATGCATAAAATCGATCGACAGTTGATTTCATAGTGATTAATAATAATCAACAATCAAACCAACGATATGCTAAATTTTGATAATAAGTTGTTCCCAACGAAAAAAAATTCCAAGCAAAACAAATTCGTTGGACTTGACAAAGACGATATATTCCGAGAAGTCAAGAATTCTTTGGACAGATTCGACATTAGAATAAGAGAAATACGTGATTGACCGAGCGTTCATTTTCATTGATTTTTATGTTTCACTTAAGAATAGATTTTCAAATAATTTAAACAAAAGCAAAAAGAAAAAAGTCCGATTAATTAATCACTTTCCATAGATTATTTGCACAATATTATTCATTCAGAATTTATTGTTTTTTCAAAGAACAATCTATTTTTGACTAAATACTTGATTAGTACAACATTCAACATGAATACAAGGGATTCAAAATAAAACTTTTGAAGAAGATCAATACAAAACTACATAGTCTCATGTCTAAGTTTGGTAATGATTATTACTGTCAACATAAATCTTTTTCCAATGAATTTTTTGAAGATTAATTATTTAGAACGAAGATCTGTATGTAAGAGTATGCATCTTTTGTGTGCATTTATACCGTTACCTATACACTCATACGCACAACTTCTTTTTAATTGTCCTCATTTGGCTGAGATCTGATAAGAATTATGTTATTGACTGCCTGACTTTTGTTGTTGTTTTTTTTCTGCATGATAACTTCGACTGCTAAGATATGCCGTTTTCTTATATAGATAGTGTAATAAATCAACAATACAGATAGATATTGTATATGCATGTATTGATTTATAGAAGATTTCAACTAAACTTGAATACTGTCGTTAATATAATAGACTGCCTCTAACATTGGCTGAATACGCATTATGATACCAATTCAAATGAAACTCCAATAATGCTCCATGGCTAAACAATGTCAATCTTATTATGGATTTAATTTTTCAAGAGGTAAATGTATGAGTGTGTTACTATTTCACGTATTGTAGCTTGATCTAATGTCCATTTCAAATTAAAACAAGGGTGGTTGTTTTTCGAATAACTTTTTAACAATGCTAGCTATTGATCTGCGGTTTTCACCATTAGAAAGAGGCAGTGATTCTGCATCTTTCTGTATAGTAGCGATTTCTTCAATTCATGAGTTTGATGAGCAGGCAGTGCAATTCAATGAAGCATTTGAAGTGATATAAACAATCTGTATGATTTCAATTATATGGAGTGCGTTAGATTCCTCTGCTCAAGATCTACAATTCTACGCAAACCCGAAATTTTTATCTAATTTCGTTCAAAAGTTATACGTCTTACACTAATTGTCAAAAATGCGAAAAATACTCCATTAAATTTTTTTTTCAAGTTTCAGTATTTCTAATATTATCAAGAAATAACTAGGTTTTCGATCATTCTGGATGGAACGAAACTATTCATTTTGTAAAGAAATCTTTCTTTATCGACTAAAATTAGTACTACTCACGATACATCACAGTTCGACTGTGTCTACTATCAAACCATAATGACACAAAAAAAGTTATTACGGGTTGAAACTGTTTTTTAGCATGTTTGGTTAGACTAGAGGCGCATCTGTTTCACCATCAAGGTCATATATAATTTTTTTTTCTTGTTTAATCTTCAGTAATAACCTGCCATCACAAGTTGTGTTTAAAGGAAGGATGAAAGCACGAATCATTCACCGAAACAAAAATAACTATTTCCTTTCTGGCTGAATTAGAATTTGGAATCGATATTTCTGTTGCATAATTTAAAGAAAGAAAAAAGGGGAGACTATCAGTCAGTTCAGACAAAC